ATTCCATTGCTTTTACGCGGTTTTTGGACTACGCACGTATCTTATCTTGCCGATCGCAACTGTACTCCTTTGGCACGATCTCGGTATTCTTTCGATACCACGAGATCGCCAACAAATATATACGACTACTACAATCATCTGCCTTCTGATATTTTGGCCTACCGGAATTTTATTGGTCTATTGGCAAGTAGTCTGGTAGCGGTGTTCATAGTTCAGCTCAACTCGACTCCACGCTACATTTGGTGAGCCAAATTTTGGAACACGCCTCAACTTCGGTCAAATCTTCTGCAACTGGTGAACCTACATCTACGACCACTTGGCAATCGCAACCAAACCTTCCAAAGAAGTCAATTTTGGTGAGTCTATCGCTTATCTATCCACGTCTGTCATATATTTTCATATTAATTTTTAATATATAATATATTTGACATGACGGATAACGATAAGAATAGTATTAATATAATAGACTCCGATGTACGCGTACCGAATCCTCGGCACTTTTTATTCGCGTGACGATAAATTCCACGCCTTATTCGAGAAATTCCCCAGATTAACTAAACCATTCGAGGAGATTTCATCGGTGACCAATCGTGTGGTACACCACATAGTCACCCGCGGACCACCAGTCACGGCAAGACCACGCCGACTGGCACCGGACAAATTAGCCTTCGCTAAACGTGAGTTTGACAATTTACTATCTGCTGGTATTATTCGTCCTTCTCACAGTCCTTGGGCCTCTCCTTTACACATGGTGCGCAAAAAGGATGGGGTTAGTTGGAGACCATGCGGCGACTACCGAGCATTAAACGTAGCTACGCGCTTTGATAGCTACCCCATCCCCCACATACACGACATCACGGCATCGCTCAAGGGCACGACTATCTTTTCTAAAATCGATCTGGTACGAGCATATCACCAGATCCCAGTCGCTCTTGAAGACATCGAAAAAACTGCTATCACGACTCCTTTCGGTCTGTTTGAGTTCCTACGAATGCCATTTGGATTACGGAATGCTGCTCAAACTTTCCAAAGGTTTATCGATAGCATAGTACGAGACTTGGATTTTGTTCACGTCTATATTGATGACCTGCTGATCGCATCATCAAACGTAGATGAACATTATCAACACCTTACGCTATTATTTCAACGTCTTTCGGATAATGGAATAGTAGTCAACCCAGAGAAATGTGAATTGGGTAAATCAGAAATAATATTTCTGGGTCACATCATCAGACAAGAGGGTATTCTGCCTTGCGAGGACAAAGTTCGAGCAATCAAGGAGTACAACGTGCCGTCCTCAATCAAGGAACTGAAGGCTTTTCTCGGTTTGGTTAACTTCTACCGACGTTTCATCCCTCACGCGGCAGAACGGTTACGACCATTAACCGATTTACTACGCGGTAATCCACGCAAATTAGAATTGAACGATACCGCACGTACTGCATTCTCAGAGATCAAAACGGCTCTCGCCGAAGTTACACTTCTCGCTCATCCTGACCCATCAGCCACGCTTAGTATAGCGGTTGATGCATCAGATTTTGCTATAGGAGCCGTTATGCAACAGAATATCTCCGGTAGTTGGCAACCGCTTGAATTTTTCTCACGACGCCTTACTCCCACGGAGACGAGATATAGCGCTTTTGGTCGCGAGCTGCTTGCAGCCTACTGCGTCATTAAACATTTCCGGCACGCAGTAGAAGGACGTCAATTCATTTTATTCACCGACCATAAGCCCTTAACGTATGTCCTGCATACCAAGTCTGACCGCTACTCACCACGAGAGTGCAGACATTTGGACTATATCTCACAGTTCACGACAGACCTTCGTCACATTAAAGGCGAGTCGAACTATGTTGCCGATGCTCTTTCACGTATCCAGACGAATGCAGTTACCTTACCGGTGTTCGATCTTCCTGCTATGGCCGCCGCACAAGCAAACGATCCTGTCTCTACAGAAGCACCACAATCTTCGTCCCTTCAGTGTCAGGAAGTACCCCTAGCTACTAGCTCAGGTACTATCCTATGTGATATTTCTACCGGTCTACCTCGACCCATCGTACCCTCTACCTATCGCCGTCTCGTCTTTGATGCCCTTCATGGATTGTCTCATCCAGGTATCGCAGCCACATTACGTCTCATCGCTGCACGATACGTCTGGCCGTCCATGAATAAAGATGTTCGTATGTGGGTAAAGCAATGCTTACAGTGTCAACGATCAAAAGTGCACAGGCACGTAGCTGCCCCCATTGGCACGTTCGCTACGCCTGATGCTCGCTTTGATCACGTACATATAGACATTGTAGGACCATTGCCACCATCGCACGGGTATGATCACATACTCACGTGCATTGACCGTTTTACAAGATGGCCCGAAGCTATTCCATCACATTTATCACGGCGGAGACAGTTGCTCACCGCTTCGTAGAACGATGGATAGCATTGTACGGTTGTCCCTCGACTGTCACGACTGACCGAGGACAACAATTTGAGTCCGCATTATTCTCCTCACTGACCCGGCTGCTTGGTACGGAACGCATACGCACCACCGCCTACCATCCAGCATCGAATGGTTTAGTCGAACGGTTTCATCGCCAACTTAAAAGTGCTCTCCGAGCACACGAAAACGACAATTGGTACGAAACCTTACCGCTCGTTCTCTTAGGCATCAGAACGAGTTTGAAGGCAGATATCCAATGTTCCGCCGCTGAACTTGTATACGGCACGACATTGCGTCTGCCTGGGGAATTCTTCACACCACGGAGCAGTAACGATTTCGGTAAATCAGACTACGTCCATCGACTGTCTGCATTTATGCGAACGCTGTCTCCGGTGTCAAATCGAATACAACATCGACAGGTTGCTCTCCCTCGAGAGTTATCTACCTGTTCACATGTTTTCATACGAGTAGATTCGGTACGAAAACCTCTACAACAGCCTTACGAAGGCCCTTTTCACGTGATCTCTCGTCACGAAAAGACCTTCAAGGTTGATCGACACGGCCGCGTCGAGATCGTCAGCATTGATCGTCTCAAACCAGCACACGTCGATGACAGTGCCCTACCCGATAACTTGAGACTCAATGCTAGACCTATCAAACCTTCTAGCGGGATCTCTACATCTACCTCGGATCCCACGCTAGATACATCAGAGACCTCGTTCTCACGTCCCGGTCAACAGCACGCGTCATCTGCACCATCTACGGACGAGGCTTCCGTCTCACGTCCAGATCGGCAGACCACGCCGCCCTTGACCTCGGATGAGATCGCAGGCTCACGAAGCACGAACGAGACCACCGTCTCACGTTCCGGTCGCCGAGTACGATTACCGGTACGCTTTTGCGACTAAACGCACAGTCAATAACGGATACGGTGTAGGATTATTCCTATACTACACGCATGCTACACTTTTCTTTTTTTGATTTTTTTTTGTATCCTGAGCCCACGCCTCCGACCATCGTGCATTTGATAACGTCGACTTCAGTCAACTTTGGCGAAAGCTGGTTTGGCCACCCACGCTCTAGTCAACGCACTCAGTCGATTATCTGGTCTCGAATTCGCCTGGCATACGCTTGGTTCTTATGGTCGCGTCCGGTTTCTTGGCTCAACGTGGTTTCGTCCTACGTCTGCAGCGTTTTCTGGTCCGCATCCATACGAACGCAATCATCAGATCCTGGATACAAACCACTCTGGTGTGGTATGCTAACTCGACCAACAAATACAGCACACTTCTCCTGGTACCGTTCCGCGCAAAAGACTTTCGTTGGCAACTCGAGGATCAATGATCACTTCCTGTTCCGCCAATTTCCTCCGTCCTACAACCGCAATTCTGCCGATCAGTCCCACGAATCAAACCGCTAACTATCGAAAGTGTAAACCCTTTCTAGCGGGGGGCTCCTGTAGTGACCTACTTTTGTCAACAGAACGCGATTGGTTCAATGAAAACAATTATTATTATAACCAATTGTACCAGTGACTGTTTTACTGCGCTCGTTTGTTTAACTGTGCTAATAACAGCCATTTTGGGCTTCCATTGTATTCCATTGCTTTTACGCGGTTTTTGGACTACGCACGTATCTTATCTTGCCGATCGCAACTGTACTCCTTTGGCACGATCTCGGTATTCTTTCGATACCACGAGATCGCCAACAAATATATACGACTACTACAATCATCTGCCTTCTGATATTTTGGCCTACCGGAATTTTATTGGTCTATTGGCAAGTAGTCTGGTAGCGGTGTTCATAGTTCAGCTCAACTCGACTCCACGCTACAAATCCATTGAAGCTAGACCACCATGGAAAACCTGGAAGCACTGGACGGCCGTTTCGTCCTAGTATGGGACTCCTCAGCAGTGCGCATCCACGATCCCGCTCCTCGCGAGATTCGAACCCAGGACCTATCAGTCTTTTGTATTTGATCGAGATCTGTAATCTGTAATCTTCAATACCAACGTCAAGGCAGTTCTACTGTACGGAGACGAAACTTGAAGAGCTACAACAACCACCATCACGAAGGTACAAGTATTTATCAATAGCTGTCTACGCAAGATACTCACCATCCATTGGCTGGATACTATCAGCAACAGCCTTTTGTGGGAGAGAATCAACCAGCTTCTAGCTAAAGACGAAATTAAGAAAAGACGATGGAATTGGATAGGACATACATTGAGGAAATCATCAAACTGCATTACGAGACAAGCGCTAACTTGAAATCCTGAAGGGAAGCGGAAATGTGGAAGGCCAAAGAACACATTACGTCGGGAAATAGAAGCGGATATGAAGAGGATAAATAAGAACTAGAAAGAGCTGGAAACCATTGTCCAGGACAGGTTTGGATGAAAAATGCTGGTGAGCGGCCTATGCTCCTTCACGAGGAGTAACAGGCGTAAGTAAGTAAATAAGTAAGTAAGTAATTAATCCGTCTACAATAATATTATTCGTCTATTAATAATAGTCAATCAAAATGAATACTTACCAATTAACAATGATAACACAAAATATTACTCAAGTAAGTATTTTTCTTTGCTATTATTCAAGTTGACAGTCTTGCTTTTTTAAAAAAAACAAACAACGGTTCAATTATACAGATAACCGATGGTCTCAGAAACTCTTTCTATCTTGAGCAATTAATACAACAGGGGGGGGCGAGAAAAGAAAATTAAATCTACCAGTAATACTGAAGTCATAAAGATATTCAGTAGAACTCTCAATCATGTAGTGTACTCAACTACCATATGGTGTCATATTTCAATGATAAGAAAGATAATGGAAGAAATCACAGTTTTTCAGTTGTCAATGTAATAAGTTAACTAGAAGACAAGTAGAATAAGAGTAAAGGTTAGTTGGAAAACACATATTCAACATTATATGATGGTTAAATTTCATTTTTACAATCAACCACTGTCAATTAAAGTACAGGTTAAATAAAGAGAAAGTAAAGAACAATTTACATTGATCACCTCGAACAAGACATGTCTAAGAAAAAAGAAAATGATTATTGTTTTCACAATATCCACGATTGTTTTCCAGTTTTGTGTATAATTTTATGAATCAAAAATTCACAGATGCATTGACACATTCTAAACCTTCACGAAGTGGTGGAGGTGTAGTATTTGTTGTTGAATGTTGACCTGTTGTTAGACTAGCATGAATATTAGCAGTTAGCTCTTGTGGATTACCATAATCATATGATGCACTATTTATGTCCGATGTGAATGCAATTAAATTACGTGATGTAGGCGGAAATATCAAAGGCATTGAATTGGATTGATCTGCTGATACACTGATATTATTATTAGATGTATGGTTATTGCTATTATTATTATTACTACCGCTATTGTTATTATTGTAATTCATAGTATGATTTGAACTTAAAGCAAACTGATTACTAAGCAAGGCGCTTGACAATGAATTAGTTGAATTAATAGGTGTTAATAAAGATGATGGAATCGTTTGATAATTTGATGCCATATTAAGCAGTCTCTGATAAGCCATAGCAGCAGAATATGCATTTAATTCATTTGGTGAAACCTCTGGAGTGAATGTTCTACAGAATGGTGATACAGACTGACTACCTGTTAATACATTTAAACCAGTTGTATTTGACGTAGTAGAATTCAAATTTAATAAGCTTGTTGCTGGTAGACTGGTTGCATTCAGCGATTGATGTGTGACAGGTGACATTCCAACAAATGAATTATTTCCCGGTAACACAGTATTCAACCCACTTGTACCCTGTCCATAGGTGGACATTAAAAGTGCTAATGCAGCTGGTGAAATACTTGGCTGATTTGTATTCGCTGTAGCTGAAAGAGCTGCTGCTGCTGCAGCAGCGGCAGCGGCAGCTGCAGCACCAGATGAAGGATTTGCAATTGCATTTGAATAATTAAGTAAATAATTTAAATTAGCAAGCGGATTCAATGGGAGCTGAGCTTGTAATCGATTATCAGATGTTGGATCAGTAGCTACAGATGATATATGATTAGTTGGCGTTTGTAGCATACCATTCATACCTGGTGATAATGTAGCAGCAGCAGCAGCAGCAGCATTTGGCATATTGAAACCTGTCAATAGACCTGCATTCATTAAAGGATTCATTAAAGAATTAGTAACAACTGCAGCGGTGGCTGGATTATTATAGAAACCTGGATGACTAGCGTCTAAAGGTAACCTTTAAGAAAAAAGAAAGTTAAATTCTATTCAATGAAAGGACATTGAAAACTCAATAGGAACACTGAAAAAAAACACTTTAAAAACGCAAAATTGTAAAAGATACATCTACAGTGAATACATTTCAATGTTCCTTTTTTTTTCTTTTTTTTTATCGATTTGACTACACACCATGCATTGATTTGTGCATTCACAACATGAAAAGCTACATGGAAAATTTGTACATTTTATTATTATTTAAAAAAAGAAACACACAAAGTTCAGTGAAGGGATCTCTCTCTTTTCAACGAATTTATCACCAAGTTGTATAATCGTATATAGATATATGAAAATTTGTTTGTTTGTTAAATATTCGTACAAGGAGGAAGCAAATACATAGTCGCCACATAAATCTCATTTGATTTGTGTGAGAGCTGTGATACTGCTCGGGTGCCCAAACCGATGCAGATGGTTTACTTAGGGGTCCCACCCTGAGCCTTCGACCTGAAGGTATGATCCACAAAGCAGTAGAGCATCGTAAGGAGATGCAGTCCGATGGTAGCCGGTGACCAATAATTAGTTCATACGCCATTTGTTCCCTCAGGATGCTGTAACCCATGTACAACATTAGTTTGTAATGAGGGTTTTCCAACTCCTCTAGGTGGACTCTCCGTGTCCACCAACCTGGTTAAAGCGCCGCACATTCTCATTTCGTCCTCTTAATTTAGTAAACAATACCCCCGCCACGAGAAGGCAATGAGTAGGAGTTCCCTGGCAGAGGCTATATATGCGTGGCCATGTGAGAACATTTCGAGAGGGAGAGTGAACTCTCCATACTCTCGGCCATAACAGGGCATTTGGTAAGTAGTATATAACGATTGTCAGGAATAGAATGTCTTCCAGTAAAAGATCAACAAGGAATGAACGGAAATGGAAGGCACTTTATTTAACTTGAGTTATGTCATTCACTTAGAAATAATCAAATCAAATTTAATGTTAACTTCATTACAGATCGTAAGTAAAACTTGAAAATTACATAGTGTATCATAGATTGTATATCTATATGAATATTGAGGACTGTCATAGTTCAGCATTATGTTATTACTCATTTGTCGATATTGTTATTGAGTGAACAACCTATGTCTTCTTCAAAGTACTTTATTCAAATGCCACTAAGAGCAGTCAACTAAAAATAAAGCATATTATGTAATATATTCTAGAGAACCTCGTTGTGGTACATTACTCTGAAACTGTTCAATGTTTAACAATCAATAGAAGATAGTTTGTTATGATGATATGTGTAATATCTAAATTACATATATTGTGTAGTAAATGAAGATAAAACTATAATGAACTAAGGTTTATGGATCAAAACATTGATCCAGTATTACTTTAAGAAAGTTTACTATTTTCAACCTGGTTTATTTCATTTTTCAAATTGTCAAGACTATCGAGATGGTGGAGAAGATTTGTAGCTCAGGTGGATGATTTTGATGGAGTTTTGTTCTCTGAGCTGGATGGTTTGGTCGTGGAGCTTTCATCGTTCTTCTGAACGACATCATCAGCACAAACTTCAGATAGAAGTGAAGTGATATCTCCTCACTTATATCAATACACGTGGACAACTGTGGACACACATTCGATTGGAAAAATGTGGAAATCTTGGACAGAGGAAACTCTAAAAACACAAGAGAATTCTTAGAAGCTTGGCACTCAGGTCAATCAGCAATCAACAAACATATTGAAATTGATCCGATTTATCAACCAATCAGGAAACTTATGCACGAATATAGGAACAAGAATCAAACCAATAGGGGACAAAATAAAAACAAAAAAGTAAACAATGACAAATTTAAAGTCAATAAGAACCAATCAACATCGAGGTGCACAGAACAAGCTGTGAAACACATATGGAGAAATTCGAACACTTCACTTCTATCTGAAGTTTGTGCTGATGATGTCGTTCAGAAGAACGATGAAAGCTCCACGACCAAACCATCCAGCTCAGAGAACAAAACTCCATCAATGTCAAGACTATCATTTATAGACGAATCAATCAGGTAATAAGATAATAGATCTCGTATATTGGCGCGAACATCACTTATTCATTTGGCTAAATAGTGTTTTTGACATTATAGCTGATATCAGTTGATGATGAAAACCATAAATCTAATTACTAACCCTAACCATGAACTATAAATCATCATTCAAATTCTTTACACAGGTTTATAACCCTCATTTGATCCTAGTGATTAAGTGAACACTCTCAAGGTCAGTCTTGCGTTGCTCAAAGGTCATCCACAAATGATAGTTTCAGCAAAAGCTTAATAGGAGAATAAATCTATGAAACTTGATTAATCTTACATATAGTTCATATCAAACTGACATACAAAATAACTATGAATTGAATTGAATGGTATTACATAAGAAATTAGTAACTATCATATAGACGGAGTCATAGTTTGTAAATCAAATCCATACACAAATGCCTAGAAAATGATTAATCAGTCAGTATCTTGATATTTTACATGTCAACTTAATCCGTGTCGGGTAAAGACAGGTATCTACCTTAGTACAATGGAGAAGGATTATATCTCGTTTTTCAGTTATTATTTCTAACCCTAGTGGTTTGGTGTGTGACAAAATCTCAGCACGGATTCGCAAGGCTTGGCTAGCTTTTTCCGACTTGCGAGAGAGAGATATCCGTCTACTAACTAAAGGACGTGTTTACTGTGCAGCAGTTTTTCCCGTCCTACTTTATGACAGTGAAACATGGCCGGTAAGAGTAGAGGATATTCGTAGTTACGACTATTCGATCATAGATCTTCTCGAAGCATTACTTAAATATCCTGGAATCACCGAGTAAGTAATGCAGTTGTTGGAAAATAGGTATTAGGTAAGGATGGAAAGTCAGTTGATCGAGTAGTGGAACTTCATCAGTTGAGATGGCTGGGACATGTGTTACGTATGTCCAATCACCGACTGCACCGACGAACAATGTTTCATGGTGTAAGAGTAGGTCAGAAGAAAGCTAGAGGCGGCCAGATCAAAACATGGCATAAATCCATGAAGTCACTGACAAGCAAACTGAGTGAGCCATGTAGTTAGGTGTAAATTACCTGGTTGGGGTCTGCAAGACGATAGCAACCGATGGTTAGAAACTGAATGACATTGCTCAAAATCGTTTGCAATGTCGCAGATGCATCCACTCTTTGTGTTCTCTCAAACTCTAATCTTCTGAATTCCTCATGTCCTTTATTTTCTTTCCAAATTTATTTCACTATATTATATTCCTTGAATAACATCTTCAAACCCTAATATTTCCGACTACTGCTTATACTCTTACTACTTCTACCACTACGGGATTTGAATTGATAACTGCATCTCTGTGCTAATGTGGTATGGCAACTCAAACTGATGTACGTACGTACGTACGAAGTTCTACGTTGTTAACTGACTGACTGACTTAAATAAAAATAAAAAAATTCCAAGTCTCAATAAGTGACATCTATTTAGTTGAGAGAGAGAGAGAGAGTGTGTGTGTGTGTGTGTGTGATAGTGAACTGAAATGAGTATTTCTATAGAAATGTAATGTAAATAGTTATCTCTTTAATAATAATTACTAAATACCTAAGTTGGTTATTAAATTGTAACTAAGATACTGATTATCATTCAGAGAATATAAGTGTTTATTAACAGCTGTCTACGCAAAATACTTCAGATCCGCTGGCCAGACACTATTAGCAACAACCTACTGTGGGAGAGAACAAACCAGATTCCAGTGGAGGAAGAAATCAGGAAGAAGTGCTGGAGGTCGATAAGACACACATTGAGGAAAGCACTGAACTGCGTCATAAAATAAACCCTCACGTGGAATCCTCAAGGCCAAAGGAAGACGAGAGGAAGACCGAAGAACACATTACATTGAGAAATGAAGACAAACATGAGAAAAGTGAACAAAAATTGGATAGAACTAGAAAGGAAGGCAGAGTAGGACAGAGTGGGTTAGAGAATGCTGGTCAGGGTGGCCTATTCTCCATTGAGAATAACAGGCATAAGTAAGTACGTGTGTAAGATAACGATATTGTTTTCTTTAAATTAATTGAATTCTAACAATTAGAAAATAAGATTTAATTAATTTAAATAAATGAAATAGAGAGTCATTATTACATTCTACCCATGAGACATATCCTCATGTTCGTTATCATTTTTTGAGTGTCTCACATAAAGTAAACCTAATTTTGAATAAACAATGACGGGTAGTGACTAGCAGTGGAATCTGGGACATGCGTTTCGTCCTATCTAGTACTCGTCAGCTGGATGTACCTATATCTCACAGTTGATGTTCACTCTGGGACATATCACATACAGAAAGCTACAATATCATGTCACTTAGTATTATAACATTCAGTTTATTGACTCTTTAACTCATAATTCTTCAGCTTGACTATTGATCAACTTAAGAAAAACCTGAAGAGCTAGATCACATTATTAACCTTCATAATTGTTAAAATTTAATGAATAGACATGTCAATATTTATATCAGTATGTACACCCTGGTTGGTGTTTTCTTAGTAAGGAAAAGATATTGGATGTAGATAGGACATACATTACGGAAATTATCAAACTGCTTCACGAGGAAAGCCCTAACTTGTGATCTTGAAAGGAAGTGGAAAAGAGGAAGGGCAAAGAACACATTACGTCGGCAAATAGAATCAGATATGAAAAGGATTGCTCAGGATAGGGTTGGATGGAGAGTGGTGGTGGGCGACCTTTACTCCTCCACCAAAAGTAACAGGCATAAGTAAGTAAGTAAGCGTGTGCACCCTATTATTTGTATTGAGCACATAGCTACAACTAATGTCAATAGTCATCATAAAATAAAAACAATCTAAGATTTTGTTAATTCACTTGATATTGTTTTATTTGAATCTTCCCATTGATGTTTAGGACAATTTCAGTGCTAAACATCAATGGGAAGATTCAAATAAAACAATATCAAGTGAATTAAACTTCATCCCATTGCACAAGCAAATGGCTATAAGGACTCAGTAGCTAAGTGGATAACGCGATGGCGTTTGAAGCGGACGGTACTGGGTTTGAGTCCCGGAGTGAATATCAACTCTGAGATGCAGATCCATCCAGCTGACGATTCCCAAATAGGACGAAACGCACATCGTGGATTCCACTGCTAGCCACTATCCATCTTTGCCTATAAGACTTTGTTACTTTCCCATAAGTCAAAGTATTTTAAATCTAAACTGAAAGTTATCAGTAATAGCCCCAATAGTTATTGTTGACGAAGATCAAAGAATGGTGAATATGAAGAATTGATCATTCACATTCAATTGAAATAGCCCAATTAAATACAAATAAAGAGAATTCAAAGAAATCATTTACTTTAACTTTACATTGATATGATTATCAGAAATCATACGAAAGATATGAATCGACAAAGAGTCAAGTTTCATATCCACAAATGTCAGGTAAATGTATATTCTATTACTATAGTATGATATTATGAACTATTCAAGTACAAGCATTATCTCTTGATCCTATATTTTGTAGTATGTCAACTAACATTATTCAATTCAATGATAAAATCCAGTTTGAATGCCTTATTCATCAACTAGGTGACCTTATCCCACTATCTAATAAGGATTAGAAGCATTTCATTATAACTCTTGTAGACTATTGTAATCAAAATATTATCATAATACCTATAATTAGACAATTACATACAAAAGATCTTCTGAGAAATCAAGATTTCGTGCAGTGTAACCTAGACAACAGTTCAGGAATTGTCCTTATGAATCTCTATGTGACTATATAACCAAATCATCTTCGATATGATCTGATCCTGTCAAATTCTCTAAAGAAATCAGTGAAAGAAGATGCAATTGAAAAAAAAAAAAAAACGGAACAGATGTTAACTAAAATCTAAAAGAAGAATAGTTTTGATATCCATTATGACCTCTATGAATATCTTATAAACTATTGGGTTCCGTTATACCAAGATTATATGCACTTCTAAATGTTCACAAGATGAATATCTCTTTACATACTCTGCTTAACATGAATAATTCTCTATATTATCTGATTGTGAAATAGTTATGTGAAATTATAAAACCCATTAGAAATCAAAACAATCGATACAACTCTCTTCATTCATTTGATTTGGTTGACTTATAGTGTCGGTTATTATGTGAAGCCCACATGCCTTATTCTAACTTTCGGACAGTTCATTCTATTCATTCTACTTAAGTCACATTCTAACTTTGTTCATAATTCGCTTATCAACCGTGGCTGTGTTTATATGAGCGCATGTGTATGTGTGTGTGTGTGTGTGTTCACTTCTTATCCTATTCATCACATGTGTGTAACTTATTTTTGTGTGCTTATAAATATTGATTAACACTTGGTTAGAAGGGAGTCGATTTATCCGCCAACTCCACTGTGAGTTGTTTCTCTTCTTTCTATTCCATTTGCTACACATACAAAATATATGTATCCAAAATTCCATTCTCCTGATTTCACTTATTTAATTCCGTTATTGAATAACGTGATTTAAGTCGATGATTATATACGAGAATAAGCGATAACAAAACATTCATATGATCAAATTGGAGTCAGATCACAGTCCACGAAAGTGGAGAGCCGTTCGACAACATCACCTGGTCAAAAATAACAACAAACCAAAGGGCCTCCACTAAAGAATCAATTAGAAATATCAGTGTAAATGGAAGAATAGTGATCTCATGGAATATCACTTCTCTTTTTACAAATGTTCCACATACAGAAAATAACGACCTTTTTATTTGTTTCCCAAAACATTATCTAAAAGAGCTACTTCTACTATATACTCTTAATGTTTGATTCTATAGACAAATTGATGGAGTTTCAATGGATTCAGAACTAGGTCTCCTCATGACAGATTGTTTCATGGCTAATTTGGAAAATACGGTACTTCGATCAATAATTGAAACATTTCATTTACATAGAAGACAATATGGATGATACATTCATTATTTGTCAAATGGTGGAGAAGTTTGTGCTGATGATGTCGTTCAGAAGAATGATGAAAGCTTCACAATCAAACCATTCAACTCAGACAACAAAACTCCATCGAAAATGATTCATTAAATGTTATCACTCAATTCAGTTCACACTGGAAGAAAAGACGAATGAATAATTTCACTTTCTTAATGTCCGGTTGAAAAGAAGGTCAGATAGTTCCTTACAGAGATCTACCTTTAAAAAGTTGAATTATAATGGTCAGTATGCAGATTTCTATAGCTGGGTCCCACTCTTCACTCATTATCCTCAAGGATTAAACGAATATGTTCTAATAACACAATAGATGACGAACTACTTCAACTTTGGCAAGTACTCATCAGAAATGGTTATCAATCTAGATTCCTTAATAGGAACATAGCATCAAGACAACATCCTGAAAAAGCACCAACAATTCAAAGGAATGCTCTTTTTTATGAACATGGGATATAGAAGAGATACGGCTAACGAAATCTTGAATAAACGGATTTGAAAATCCTTGAATAAAATCTTCTATTTAGTTAAGCTTTGTATTGTCTTCTCAAGTCAGCCCATCATTCAAATATGTGTTTCTAGGATAAAGTATCGCTTTGGGCCACATCAACGTGCATCTATAAATTTACATTCTCATGTGGGTTAGGTTACACTGGCCGCATAAAGCGATTACTTTCCAGACGTATTTCGTGACATTATTAGGTGTGATTATTAAAAAGAGAACGCAAATCAATCACCACTTCAATACAGGAGCACTTGATCAATTCAGGATACGTTGTTCCAAAAGATTCTTCTTTTAAAATAATCAACACAGTCAAAAGAACTAGATTGAAGAGAGATCGAATCAAAACGTTATGCGTTGCTGAGGCGTTAGTGATCCACCAATTCAACTCTGTGTGCAAGCATGACACATTTAATTTCTTATCTTTCCTTGGTCCTAATTCCCCTCTGTGGTGTGTTTTAATCCTGTTTCTTCTTAAATTAGTGTTTTGTAATTTAAAGCCATAGTCAGCTATTACTATCCTTTAACAATTTTTTATGATCAACATTCAGTTATTATTATGACCATTATGTTTTCTAAGCAAAGATGGATAGTGGCTAGCAGTGGAATCCTATTTGAGACTCGTCAACTGGATGGATCTGCCTCTCATAGTTCATGTTCACTCCAGGACTCGAACCCAGTACCGTCCGCCTCAAATGCCATCGCGTTATCCACTTAGCTACTGAGTCCTAATAGCCACTTGCTTGTGTAATGGGGTGAAGTTTACTTGAATCTTCCGATTGATGTTTAGGACTGCAATTGATCAGTCTCTCATATTGGCATATGTGCATCCTGTGTGTATTGCCTCGATATTACCTTAATTCACAAGCATTCTACACAAAGCTGGATAGTGGATAGCAATGGAATGTTTTCTGTTTTTTTCTTCATATCTGTTAAGTGGATAATTATCTTTCATAATTCTAGCCTATAAATTATTTTCAATCCTCCTATTCTTCTCTAATCCTTTTATTAATTACATAAACTTCTTTTAATAATAAAGATCTCAGATCAATTGATGTTGCGATCTATGCTATCCTTTTATAGACATATAGTTACCATGCAACTATCAATACGAATTGTCTATATATTTCTACTCACATTTATGTCACCTAATAAGCCTTGAAAATAGACGGTAAAATGAAAGTTTAGTCATTAAAATCACCAATCATTTGAAAGAACACAAAAATAACTAAATAGATGTAGGGGAATTCATGAGGTTAAAAAAGAAACTATTTTATCCAACAAATTGAATTCTATTTGAATTTTCACCGGTTGAAATCGTAAGTCGATTGAAGCTAGAAAACCATGGAAAACCTAGAACAACTGGACGGTCGTCTTGTTCTAGTACGAGACTCCTCAGCAGTACGCATCCACCGTCCTGTCCCTCACGAGATTCGAACCAAGGACCTATCAGTCTCGCGCTCAAGCGCTTAACTATTAGAACACTGAGCCAGAATCCAACAGTGTTAATAGCTAACTTCAACCAATCCACGAAATTACGCCACCGTACACCATTGTCTTCAATGAGTTGATATCTCACAACAGACCTGGTTGAACACTACTAGTAACGGCTTCTCACTAGAACTCCAGGAGTATGTGTTGAAGTCAGTCATTAATGAGCAGGACGAAACGCCCGTCCAATGTTTCCAGATTTTCCATGGTCGTCTAGCTTCAATTGACTCATGATTTCAACTAGTGAAATTTCTAAAAATCTTCACAACACTCCCTTTAATTCTACTTGAATTGTTAATAGATGATTATAACATAAAACAAGAAACAGAGATCAATTGAGCTCGAAAGTTATGAATAACAAATGCTTATTCAACAATTACACAAAAATTTATACAAAATTTCAATATCTACAATGAATTAAGACTAACCAGACTAAATGATTGATCAAGCTTTAATAGATAGTGTAGAACTAAAATCTATTGACCACTGGATCAAATTAGAATTCATAAACCATTGTGTCTAATTACCAACTGGGACTCAAATACATATAGGCACTTAATAACAAGGCATTACATTATACAATAGTTAATTGTAAGCATATTAATCATATTTAGATAAAAATGAAACTTTACGGAAGAAAATATGAAAGCAACTATACTGTACTCTTCAAATTAGCTAAGAAAAACACTTCTACCTAAAGTTCGCTGTGTTGATGATGTTGTTCAGAAGAAGTTCCACAAGTAAATCATTCAGATCAGTGAACAAAACTTCATTAAAAAAAACTATATTTAAACAATAAATGAAGTGATAATCTTGATGAAACGTTTAATAAATGAAATACTACCAGTTTAATGATTGGTTACAAACCATCTGATAGATTATATCATATAGATCATAATAGACTAATTAGAATTTCTATTCAAATCACTGACAAAACATTATATAATCTTACCCAGTTTGAAGTGGAAAAAATCCCGGTACTGCAGTGTTAGCTAAAATATGAAATAAAAAAAAAACAACAAAACAGACAAGTACTAGACAGTTTACATGGATATGAAGCAGTTAGACTTTATACACATAATAGATGATAGAATAAGAAAAGAGAAACAATATTCATTTGGTATTGTTTATTTAAATCTTCTCATTAATATTTAAGACTTGTGAATGAAAACGATATTAAAGCAATATACATAGTATGCATATATGTCAATAAGAGATTGATCAATTGTAGTTTTAAACATCAATTGGAAGATCCAAGCAAACAATATCAAGTGAATTTAAATTCACTTCATTCTACAAGTAAGTGTTTATCAGGACTCAGTAGCTAACTGAATAATATCATGATGTTTGAAGCGAATGGTAATGAGTTTCAGTCTATGAGTGAACATGAACTCTGAGATGCAGATACATCCAGTTGATTAGTATCAAATAGGATGAAACATGCGTTAAACTAGATCCCATCTTTGTATAAAAAAAGAGCTTACAATAAATAACAGACAGAATCCAAGCTATTCTAGGTGATATATGAGAATAAATCGTTTACAGATGAAAGGTAAACAATCACAATATTAAAAATTGTTTTGATTAATAGAAGAATAGGAAAGAAACTAGGATCCGATGATCTTAAATAGGCTAGTAAAGGAAAATCACTGCAGTAAATTTTATGTGAAATGATTATTATCAGTACCAACTAATCATAACCACTTGGTGGTGTTTGCTTGTATCTTCCTATTGGTGTTTAGAACTGCAATTGATCAATGACTTGTTGAAATATGTGCATACTTTGCAGGTCGCCTTGATATTGCCTTAAGTCACAAGCTTTATAAAGAAAGATGAATAGTGGCTAGCAGTGGAATCTAGTTTGACGCGTGTTTCGTCCTATTTGGGACTCATCAACTGGATATATCTGCATTTCAGAGATCATGTTTACTCTGAGACTCGAACCCAGTATCGTTTGTTTCAAACGCTATCACGTTATCAACTTAGCTACTGAGTCCTGATAAACACTTGCTTGTACAATGGAGTGAATTTGAATCCACTTGGAATTGTTTACTTGGATCTTCCGATTGATGTTTAAGACTACAATTGATCAATCTCTTATTGAGATGTATGCATACTATGCATATTACTTTGATATTGCCTTGAGTCACAAGCTAGCCACTATTTATCTTTGTTTAAAAATCTTATGAATTAAGGCAATATCGATTCAATCCCCCTTCAGTATTCCTAATCAATTTGTAATTACTTCTTGTCACATATATAACTAGTTGTAGTTTTAATAAGGTAATCTTCACAAAGAAAAACATAGTCTTAAAAGTATAACAAAATCTCTAATTAACCATAATCTGAACTTATATATTGTTTAAAGAGTTGTTAACTAACAAACTAAATGATTTTCCTCAAATTAAAACATCGACAAACATTTTTAATTAAATGTTTTGTCTACTTATATTTATATAAGTAGTTAAACAAATAAAACAAATTGTTGAAACAATCAGTACTACTGACTATACGATAATATAAAAAACCTTATGAAAACGTTACTTGGTACAACTTTGAAAATCTATTTACTTATTTATTGTTTACATATTTAACTAATCAACTAACTATTGTTAACTCAGTAATAACATGAAAAGTGTTTACACTAAAAGACAAAAGTATTTCTCCTCTTTACATAAATCATCTATTTCAGTGTATTAGATAGATAGACCTATCTTAAAATCATAACAATATGTAACTGTACAATAAATTTCCCTTTGATATACATGTATTCGTTGAGAGAAGTAGTTGAATATGAATGATTGTATGAAGACTATATATAAAGTAGGCATCATTGTAAATTAGTTAAACTTGGTAGAGATTTATGTATTATTCATTCATTCTAATAGTAAATAAACAGTTTACAAGGTATAGTTCTTATAAGTTAGTGTGTTCGATAGCGATCGAGACCGAAAGAGGGAGAGGAAGAGAGAGAGAGAGAAAGAGAAAGAGGGAAAACAATGGAAAAGATAATATATATTGTTTTGTTTATATATATATATATATATATATGTAGGACATTACTAACAAGCGTATATCTGTAAACGGACATTACCATATATATATATCTTCATTGATAATGATTCACTGTATATAATGATAAATAGTAAATAACTTAACAGAAAACATTATAGATCATAGTGAAATCTGTAATGATATAATAACATTTATCTACTTTTCTATGCTTTCATTACTCTATTCATTGAAACCAAATGGCTAACTATTGAATAGGACTTATTTCATGTTAAAGTATAGTGAACAAGAACACCAATGGAGACAATCGAATGTAGTTAGCAACAAATTACAGAGCATCTCAATAAAATCTAACAATCATATAGTGAATGCGTTAATTTGCAAAATAACAATCCATCATATCAAACTGGACTATTCCTGTTGCAAACATCAATCGATTGTCTTTCCTTTCATTGTACATGAGTTTTCATACAAATTCCATTATGTTCTCGCTCTTCCTTTATTTAACTTCCTCTATCTTCTGCTGCCAGACATTACGTTTCTAACTCGCGTCATATACTACTTATGTCTATATAAGTAGCACACACACCACAGAAGTACCATATTCCATGGTAAAATATATTTAATCAAGCGAAAAAATCAATATTATCATCTTTAATCTAATCCATAATCTTGTTACATAATAGGTTTATCGAAGATTTTGTACAATGATGAATATATTTTCATGTTAAGAATTAAATAGTAAGAAAAAGTTTAAGTAGTTATTAGAAGATTAATTTAATATTCATAAACCATTAATAATAGAGAGCCAATATTGATCACAATGAGCTCTATAACTTTGATAACAATTGAACAAGCTAGCCTCCAAATGCCCTGGTACAGGCAATAGGGGGGGGAGAGTCAACTCTCCCTCTCCGAATGCTCTCACATGGCCACGTGCATACAATCACTGTCAAGGAATTCCTATTCATTGCCTTCTTGAGGCATGACTATTGTTTATGATATTGAAAGAACGAAAACTGTATGTTCGGTGCATTCATCGGATTGGTGGACATGGAACATCCACATATAAGAGTTGGGAAACTTTTATTCCAAATCAGTGGTACACTTGGGCTCCAGGATCCTGAAGGAGCAAAAGGTGTATGAAGCTATTATTGATCACTGGCTATCATGAGACCGCATCTCATCACATCGCTCCACTGCCTTGTGGATCAGACACTTATTGCGATGGCCCTGGGTGTAGACTGTTAAGAAAACCACCTGTTTTGCTTTGGGAAACCGGGTAGTATTTCATCCCTCACACGAATCGAATGATTTATATGGAGAGTGTCTATTTGGTGCAATGCTAAGGTGACCTTTAGAATGTACATTTACTTACTAAAGCTAAATGAAGATTATGATTTAGTTTGAAGAATATGGATTATGATTTACAATTGATAATTGAGATTAGGAATTAGATTTAAGGTTTACATCATGAATTGACATTAGCTATAATGCCGAAAACTCTATTTACTCAAATAGATGAATGAATCTTGTGCAAAAATCCAAAATCTGTTATGCTAAATCTGATTGATTCGTTCATAAATTAAAGTCTCGCCAAGAAAAAAATGGTTAATCTACTCAAGATGATTTAAATTTGAAGTTCTGTTGAGAAAACAATCTAAAGTTTTATTAAATTAACCCGAAAGAAAGAAGAAGATAACTCAGTCAATCTATCAGTCAGCTACAACGTAGGACCAGGCACGTATATGCATCGGTCCAAGTTGCCATACCGCATTAGCACAGCAAGATGAACACACCGGATTCATAGGAGTAGTTAATGCAATGGTGGTAATATATAGAAAAAAGATTGCATATAAGGATATAGTACAGGAAGAAAGATTTAGTACGTAGAAAGAAAGATATAAAGTAATTTTAATCTCACAGTTTAAGGGAAGACAGAATGTATACACCTATACCATCGTGATCGATTGTGAACCATATCACCAAGAATCTCCAACCATTGGTTACGATAATCACGTGGACCCCAACCAAGTAGTCTGTATCTACTAACATGGCTCAGACTAGAAGTTAGTGACTTCAAGCACTGATACCGCGTTTTGGTTTGGTCACCCCTAACTTTCTTCCAATCATCCCCATCACTAGTCAGCATTGCGCGTCGTGGTAATCGGTGTTCAGGCATACGCAACACGTGACCCAACCACCTCAGTCTATGAAGATTCAAAACCTCATCAACTGATTTATTATCATTCCCTGATACCCTACGTCTAACCTCTCTATTAATTACCTGGTGATCCCAGCAGATGCGAGCAATATTTCTAAGAGATCTGTGATCAAATACTAGTAACTTTCGAGTATCTTCTACTCTTGATGGCTACGTTTCGCAGTCGTAAAGTAAGACAGAACGAACTACCGTACAGTATACTCGTCCTTCTATTGATAGATGGATATCTCGCCTTCGCTATACGTGACGTAAGATAACTTGGATATCACTGAAATCAAACTAACTTCAAAACAGAGATTGTCATTTTATTTTTCTAGTGTAATCATAAACAAACATTCATAGCTTTCATTACACTTTTTCTTACTTATTCTCCTATTAATCGGTATGTATAATAAAGGTATTGGAGTAGATTAGTATTCCATTCATACTCATAGTTGTATACTAATGGATCACTTTATGATCCTCTCCTTAATGAATGATTGATTCCAGGTATAACATAATATAAATCTACTAAATCAGCTTGTTTGTATAGACAAATGAATAAATATTTAATTGGTTAATAGATTGTATTATATCAAAGCAAATAATCAACTGATGAAATTCAGTTTATCGATTGATTTTCATCGAAAATCTAGAATTGTTTTTGCATCAAATTATAGTTTACTTAATGACAGACATTAGAGAATTACCACAACCATTATCCAGAAGATACAAGTGTTTATTAATAGTTGTCTACACAAAATACTTCGGATCCGT